TGGTTTTAGCTTTTATATTTAGGTCTTTGATTCATTTTTATTTAGCTTTTGTACATGGTATTACATATGGGTCCAAATTCATTATTGTACCTGTGGATATCCAGTTTTTCCAGCACCATTTGAACTCTTGCCAAAAGTCATTTGAGAATAAATATGACGATTTATTTCAGGGCTTTCTATTCTATTTTATTGGTCTCTAGATCTATCTTTATGTCAGAAGCACAGTATTGGTTACTTTGTCATTATAGTAAGTTTTGAAATTAGGATGTATGAGTACTTCATCTTTGTTCTTTCTTGTTAAGACTGCTTTGGCTATGGAAAGTGGGGGTCCCTTGAGATTTTATATAAATTTTAGGATGGGATTTTCCATTTCTGCAAAAGACATTATCAGGATATTGAGAGGGATTTTATTAAATCTGTAGATCACTTTGGGTAGCATTGACCTTTCAAAATATTAAGTCTTCTAACTCTTGGTCATGGGATGTGTTTCCATTTATTCATGCCTTTAATTTCCTCTAGCAATGTTTTATAGTTTTAATTGTACAAATCTTTCACTTCCTTGGTTAAGTCATATATTTTATTCTTTTTGATGCTATTGTTAATTTTCTTTTCAGATCATTTATTGTTAGTTTATACAAATGCAACTATTTTTGTGTATTGTCTTTGTATCTGATCTCTCTGCTTAATTCACTTATTAGTTTTAACAATTTTTGTGTATGTGTGTGTGTAATTTGTAGGCTGTTCCACATGTAAGATAATATCATCTGAAAACAAAGGTAATTTCACTTCTTTTATTTCAATTTGATAGTTAATATCTCTTATGTTTAGAAGAGAAATAAGGCTTAACTAAATTGAAAGCTTGGTGTGACTTCTTTGTTTCTTATACCTTGGTTCTAGATCTAATCAAAGTGTATGAGGTTGATGTAGGAATACTGGGTCTTTTTTCACAAAGCCCACTGATCTCTGCCTTAACACTTGGTCCCTAGGACAAGAGAAGGAATTTGAAATGAAGTGCTTTTCACCATTTTTGCCACTTCTCTTGTATCCTTTCCACTCGCCTTTTATTCTTTCCCTCTTCTCTCCCTCTTTCTCTCCCCTGAATACTGAGTAGAATTTTCTTCCATCACAATGTTTCTTTTAATTTTTTTAAAAAAAAATTTCAAACATTCTGGCCTGCTTGATGATTTCCATTCCTTTGTGTATATTCCCAGCAGTGGGATAGCTGGGTCATATGGTAGATCTATCTGCAACTGTTTG